AGAAATTAATTTTAGGTATAAATTTCACAATTTTTAGCAAATATTTATAAAGTCTTTATGCATTTTTATGAAAAAATTTTATATTTTTTGGCTAGAATTTAAGAAACAATACTAGTATTATTTTCTAAACCTTTAAAAATACACCCATATGTTTAAAATTTAGGCAAATTAAAATACCGGATTTCTATTTATAATTCTTAAGTAAAAAAATCAGGTGTTTTTTCCATTTATTTAAATGCATATAATTACTTTAGAGTTTTTTGATGAATTAAATCAACCTCCTATATTAATTCTCCCAACATTTTTTCCGAAACAATCTTTTATTGGATTTTAAAAAAGTGAAAATTTATCAAACATTTGCGAAAAATACTTGTTTTGACATCATTAGAGATTCCTTGGGCTATATTATTATCTAAAGAGTCTATATATTGATAGAATTTGAGGTCTTAATTAAATTATTTATTAATTTTATTGATTTAAATTATTCTTTATTTTAAATTTTCGATTTTTTCGAATCTAAAAATTATTGCTTTTCTATCAATCCATTTTTTTTCAGGTTTTTTTTCCAAAATGGTTTCTACTAAATATTTATCTATTTTCTCATTATAGTCTTTAACTTTTATTTTTTCCCATCTATATTCCCCTTATCTATAAAATAAAGACCTTCCATGGTATTTATTGGGCATTTTTTATACTTGTTTTAGCCATTCTTGTCCATTTAAATCATTTGGAATAATTTCGTTTTATTAATAATAATAATTTTTATTTATTTCTTTTATTTTTATCCCATTTTTCGATAAATTTCTCAATTCTTCATCTTCTTCATTAAAGGGTTAAAAATCATTATATTATTAAAAATTAGGCTTTTTTCTGGCCTCTTCTAATTCTAGTTAGTATTTTGTATTATATGAAGAATCTCTTCTCAAAGTAGTACTTCTACAAAGTTTTTATTCATCATCATCTGCTACTATTATTAGGTTTTTTACTTTGTCTAAAAACTCTAGCTCACTTATATCACTGTCGAGATCAGATTCAGAAGAATTAGAAACGCTTTTCCTATTATTTTTATTATTATATTTAGTCTTTTTTTAGATATTAAAAAAGGTTTTTAAAAGTTCTTATTGAGACTTTATTTTAGTTTATGAAACTTATGAAAGACGCTTTTATATTTATGATTAGGAGTTTTCTAAACTACTATTATTTACGATATGATTTTTGGGAAAGTTTTATCCTTCTTTTACAAATTTAAAATTAAAAAAATTACCTTTTTTTTAATTTTCGGGAAGTTTTTTTTTTACTTGATTTTCTACATATTCTTCTTCTTCTTTGTGGTTTAGATTAGTTATTTCAGTTATAAAATAAGATTAATTTGTTACATTTATTCTATTTTCTTGAATTTATAATTACTATTGCCTTTTTGTTTACAATGATTTTCCTAAAGGTTAATAAGGAATAGTTTTTATTTAATTTTTTTTTGTATTTATTTATATTGGTTCGTTTCTTTTAGTATTTTTTTTATTTGAATAGGATTAATTTTTAGGAGAATATTATTAGTTTTAGCAAGAATTTTATTTATTTTAAGGAGTATTTTCATGAAATTATTTATTTTTTTCTAAATGTAAAGTGAATAAATTTGGTGAAAGATTTTTATTTAAATATTTATTATTTTCTAATTATTTTATGGGGCTTTTTGATAAGGATTATTATGAAAAAATTGATTGTTTATTAAATGAACTATTTCTTTCTAAGCTTCTTTTCCTAATTATTATATTTTTTTTTTTGATGATTTTAATATTTTTTTTTTTAAATTTTTTTTAAATAAATATTTGATTTTTACAATTTTATTGTAAATATATGTTTTTATTTTATAAAAAAAATAAAATATTATTATATATATATATATATGTATGAATTTTTATTTGATCTTTAGATGATTATTAAAAATTAATTGTTTTTTTTTTTTAAAGTACATTATTTTATTTATTTTCAAGTTAGGACTATTATATATTTATTTAATTAGTATGTTTGGTAGTTTTATCTTTTTTATTAGCACTAATATTTTTATAATTTTTATATTAAAGTCAAATATATATATTTGAAAAATACATTCTTTAGTATTCATTTTTATTAATTTTGAATTTAACAACAGATTTATTTTTTTAAAAAATAAATAAATATTAATTTTAAATATTTCATATAAAAAATAAATAATCAAATTATTTTTGAAAAATAATTATATTAAATAAATATCCTATATTATATAAATTATTGATATTAATATGTGAATAAATTATATTATTAAAATGTCAATTATATTTAAATATCTGATTTATAAATATTAATATATATATATAACAAATTAAAAATATATTCAATCTATAATACTTCGAAATTTACTTAATAATTGATGCCTTATAAAAAAAAACATTCAGCAATATCTTTTTAACAAAAAATAAAAGAAAAAGAAGAAAATTTACAATTACAAATTTTTCATTAAGAAAATTAAAACAAAAGTTAAAATAAATAATAATAATAACAATATAATAATAAAAGGCATAAAAAAATTCATTAATATTAAGATTCTAAAATATAAATTTTAAAAGATATTTAAAAAAATATATAAATTATTTAAGAAAACAATTCTAACACGTCATAGTAATCGAATAAAAAAATAAATTCTCTATTTTAATATGAGAAGTATATTTTATTCTTTAATATAATTATTGTATTAATAATATTTCTATAGTGTACTTAATTATTATTTTATTTATATTTAAAAACATATTTAAAAAAAAAGATTATGTTATATGTGTCTAATTATATAATTTTTCCTTATATGATAAAATGAAAACTTAAATATAAAATCAAAGTTAGTAAATAAAAAATAATTAAAAATATAATTATTTTAATTTATAGATAAAGAAAATTAAAATTTGAAAGGAGAAATAAACAAGATAAAAAATTAACTATATTTATGCAAAAATACAAAATCTTATTATAAGATAAATCAAAATATACATGCTATAAATAAAGAATATTTAAATAAAGATAAAAATTAAAGAAAATTTATAGATTAAATAAAATTTAATTAGTTTATAGAAGAAAATAAAGTTTTTTTATATATATTTGAAATAAAAATAATATTATAAAAGAAAAAAATTTCATTAATAGAATAATTTGATTATGATAATAGGCTTATATCTTTAAAAATAGAAGAGTAAAAAAATAAAATAAAATAAATAGAATAGAAAATCATATAAAAAATAATAAAATTATTAGTTTTAAAATGAAATAAAAAATAAATATTTAAATAAAATATATATATATATATATATATTATATATAAATATATATATATTTATTTTTATTATTTATTCATATAGTTTTAATAAAATAAATGATGATGAATTAACGAAAATTATTTTAGGACTTTATAATTTCTAATTTATTTAATTACTTGAAATAAATTTTAAGTATATATTTATCTTATTCTTTTTATAAATAAATAATTAGAAAAAATAAGCTTATAACCGATATTGGACTAACTGAAATTTCTTAATATATTTAAAATATGCAATATTTATAATATATTGATCTTAATTTTGAGTAAATAAATACGAATATATTTTATTTTTTTTAATCAATACAGTTAAAATGATTAATTTACAGATGTTAGTTTTGTCAATTTATCAAAATCTTTAAAAAATTTAAATAATCTTTAAAATTTAAACCTTAGCTTTTAGTATCATATTATTTGATTTTTTTATTTTTTTTATAATATAAGTAATAATAATGATTTTACAGATAACGGATTAAAATAACTATCTAATACTTTAATAAATTTTAAAAATATTTTAGCTTTAAACCTTAATTTCAAGTAATATTATATGTATAAATATAAAAATTATAATTTTATATTAGTTGGAATGAGAAGTTCACTGATAAAGGATTAATTGATTTATCTTAATCTTTAAGTTATTAATAGACTTTAAAAAATATTACTTTGAATATTTAGTAAACAATTATTATATTAATTTAATTAATTTTTTATAATTAGTTATAATGAAAATTTTGAAGATGAAAGTCTGATTGTTTTATCTAAAAATTTAATTAAATTATTAAATTTAGAATATCTAAATTTGAACTTTTTGTATAATTATATATTTTTTTTTTTTGTATATAAAAACAAAAAAGCTGGAATAAAAAGTTTACAGATAAAGCTTTAATCGAATTTTCAAATAGTGTGTCTTAATTGTATAATTTAAAGAGCATAATTATAAACTTTACGTAAATAAATATAATCGTTAATTATATATAACTTTTTATAATATTTATATAAAAATAAACAGAAGTAATAATAATTTCAGTGACTTTGGTCTAATTAAATTTTTTAATGGACTAAATAAATTAAAAAACATAATAAATTTAAATATTGAAATGGGGTAATTTTTGTTTTATTATATTTATTTAAATTTAAAATAAAAGAAATAATAAGCAATTTACAGACTAATTATTAATAAAAATAAATGAAACTATTTAAAGTTTAAAATAATTAAATTGCTTAAAATTGAATTTTATGTAACAAAAAATTATTTAAAATTTATTAAAATTAATAGATAAAATAAAAATTTTTCTAATGAAGCTTTAAGATAATTTATAAAAATAATCAAAACTTTTAATTAAATAAACTAAATTAATTTGAATTTTTCGTAAAATAAAAATATTATAAGTATTTAAAATTTTTAATTTATTAAATATTTTTTTGTTTTTTTTTTTTTTATAAAAAAAAGTCTTTTATAAATATATAGCAAAGATTAATTAGCTAAATATACTTGATTAATATAAAAATATAAATTAAAAATTTATTAAATATATTTTTATCTAAATAATTATTATTTATCAAATATATTTTACTCTTTTTATAAACATATATATTTATTTATATATTTATTATTTGTATCTGCTACAATAATTAAAAATAAAATCAGAAATAAAATAAAATGTCAGAAATAAATCCCTTTGATTTTTTTAGAGATGAAATGGAAAGCGATGAAATATAAATAAGAGTAAATGCAATTCATCGTTTGAAAATTATAGCAACATTAATTGGCGATGATTAAATAAAAACAAGTCTATTACCATATTTAGAGCGTAAATTTAATATATATTTATTATTTTCGAATTTTAATTTAATTTATATTTAATAAAATATTTTAAATAAATAAAAATGAATTAAACTTAATAATATATATTTATTTAAAAAAATTACATTTAATTATAAAATAGATTTAATTAAAAAAGAAGCTGATGAGGTATTATTTGCATTAGCAGAAGAACTATATAATATAGCGTAAAAAAAAAAAATTAATAAAAATCATTTATTGATATTCTATTTTTTCTTGTCATTTATTTAAAAAAAAATCAATCAATTAAAAAAAAAAGAAAAGCTCTTTACCAATCTCTTTTTTAATTTAAAAAAACAAAAAAAAATTAAATTAAAAAATGATTAATTAATAGCCTTTTTTATTTTGTTTGGTTAACTTTTTTTAAAAAAAAATTATAAAAAATTTTTTTAATTAATAAAATAAAAAAAACGTCATGAACAACTAATATTTAAAAAAATAAAAGTTTAATATTATAAGGAAATTAAATAGTTTTACTTTCTCATCTTGAATATTTAGCCTAAGAAGAAGAAACTTTAGTTAGAGAAATGGTATAATAAAATAAAATTGTATATAATATAAATTAAAAGGCTGTAAAATCTTTAATTAATATATCAAATTAACTTAGTGAATATGAAATATTAAACTTTTATATTCCATTAATTTTTAGACTAGCAAATAATGAATAAAGTTACATAAGTAAAATTTCCTCTATTAGCCTAATGTGTAATATTTACCCAAAAGCTGGATAATATTAAGAAAAAATAAGAAAGTTATTTTATTTTTTTATAAAACAATAATATAATTTTTAACCTAAAAAAAGCAAGTTTTAATAATTATGTACTGACCAAACTGAAATTGTTAGAAGAGCAGCATCTTAAAAAATTGGAGTAAAAAACAATAATTTAATTTTATTATTTTGATTGTAAATAAGTAATTTTCCACTGTAATTGAAAAAGAGAATTTCTTATTAAACATAAGCAAATCTTTAAAAAATTTAATGCAAGATGAATAGGATATTATTAGGATTTATATTTTAGATTAACTAAAATTAATTGTGAAGATATTAAAAAAAGAAGAGAATGAATAAATAATACTTCCTCTTTTAAAACAAGCAAGTTTTGATTAATTATGGAAAGTTCGTTTAAATTTATCGAAAGTAATTGTTGAAGTAAACAAATATAAAAAAACGGCAATAAAAAATAAATAAATTATTTATAATAAAGATTTTTGAACTATTTTAGGAACAATAAATAAATAATTAAATTATTAATATACAAATAAGTTTATTAAAAGATCCAGAAAATGATGTAAGAATTACTGCTGTAAATTAAATGTGTAAATTTGTCCAAAAAATAGAATATGAGCAAATACTTTCTTTAATTCCTTTAATTTAATAATTAGCAAAAGATACTGCTTATTAAGTTAGATAAGGAATAACGGAAATTATAGGTATTATTTTGATTAAGTTTTAAAATGTAGAATTTTCGAATAAATTAATAAGTCTTATTGTTGAACTGTTTGAAGATGAAAATAAAGAAGTTAAAATTTTAGCTTTAAATTATGCTTGCAAATATTTAGTTTCTAATTAAGGAAACAATATTTAGACTTTTATTCCGTTATTTTAAAAAGCAGTAGATGATTAAAAATGGAAAGTTAGATTGGAAGGGTATAATTGTTTAGTGGAAGTTTCTTAAGTTATAAATGTAAAAAAAAAATTAGATTTTTTTTTTTTAGTTTTTATTATTTTATAGAATCCTACAATATTTTTAAATTAATTAGAACCTTTTTTTATTGGATATTTAAAAGATAAAATTGCTTTCATAAGAGAAAATGGGGTTTAAAAACTTCCTAAAATTATATAAATCTATAAAAATTGGGCTTTTGATAAATTTTATAAAATATTAATTGATTAACTTGATGTTTCGAATGGTTATTTATTTAGAGGTACAGCTTTAAGTTCCTTAAAAATGTTAGGATTAAATGGAAGTGAAGAAATATTAATAGTAAAAATATTGCCTTTACTTTATTAAAATTTAAATGATAGTGTTTCAAATTTAAAACTAATTATACTGAAAATACTAAAAGAAATAATCTAAAAAACTTCTAATTAATATATTAAATTGGAAATTAAAAAGTATTTTTGTTTTTTTATTTTTTTGTTAATTTTATTTTTTTATTAATAGTAATATTAAAAATATTACAAACGATAGTGATAATGATGTAAAATATTTCGCAATTGAAATTATTGAGAATATGTGATTTTAATTGTATTTAAAATATTTATTTTTTTTTAAAAAAAAAATACTCTAATATATTTTTTTTATAATTTTTATAGTAATAAAATAATAAAAATAAAAAATAACATTTTTTAAAATCATCTTTTGTTTTTGTTTTTTTTCATTAATTTGGTGCAACTTTTAAACTTTAAAATTTTAAAATAAATTTGATTCTATAAATTAATGAAAAATATATTATTATATTATCTAATACTGCTAAATCTATTAAAAAGTAAATAAAAGGTACATAAAAGATACTTATTTCAGTTTTCTAAACTTAAGCATAATTAATTGCAACAATGATTAAATTAATAATATAAAAAAAGAAAATAACAACATATTTTTTAAATCCGTTTTCCATTTTATTTTATTTGTAATTAAAAAGCATAAAAAAAGCATATATTATAAACATATACATGTAAACTAAAACCCAAGTTACAGCCAATGCAGCACAGAATCTATTTATATAATTATCAAATTATACTTTTTTTTAAAAATAAATTGTATAAATTGTTTAAAAGATGGAAATTTATAAAAAGACAACAAAAAGTCTCATCCATCTGGGAGTATTCAAAACTTAATAAGAAAAAGCATTATAAATATTGAGATGTATATATTCTTAGCATTTCTATTATAATTCTATACTATTATTATTAACTATTTAGGATTGTATAATATTATCAATTTAAACTACATTTTATTAATTAATATTTTAAAAGTTAATTTCGTTGTTACCATTTCTAATTACTTAATCGTTATTTGTATTAATATCGTTATCCGCGTTAAATTATATTATTTAATTATTATTATTATTATTATTATTATTGTTCCATTAATTTTAATTATAATTTTACAAAGCATTATTTTCCTCACTATTATTAGCTACTTTTATATTACAAGAATTTTTATATGTTGTATATATATAATCTTTTTCATCTTATTATTATGCAAAATAAATAACAATATGTGATAAAAATACTAATCCAACTAAATTTCCAATTCCATGCTTAAACTATTTGTAATTAAATGAATTATAAGAGTCTTCATTTTTATTTTGGATTTAACTTTATTATATATTTAACTATTCTGTTTATTAGTTTTCTATTATTAATTAATTATAAATTTATATATTAGTTACCATTTAATTAATCTAGAGATGTAAGTACACCGCCTATAAATAATATATACCAATAAGATGTTATGTAACTTTTTTTAAATATTATCATATTTTTTTATTTTAAATTATTAACTCAAATTTTTTTTTTTTTTTTTTTTTCTATTATAATAATATATAAATGTAAATAAGAAATTAAATATTATATAAATTCTTTATAGATTATTATAAATTAATCTCTTAAAAATAAGTTTTTTTCATACTTTTTTATATTTTAAGATTTCTGTTATATTTATAAAAATATATAAGTTTTTATTTATTCGACTAAAATCAAGTTAATCAAATAATATATATTTATTTTAAATTAAAAAATAATTATTTTATCATCATAAATTATTTTATATTTTATCATATTCTTAATTGTTTTAAATTAATTTTTTTTAATAATCGTCTTTTAATTGTTTTATTTCTTATTTATGCTTATTCATCATATTCTATATTACTGGTTCTAAGCTTTTTATAGTCTGTTCTTTTATTTTCTATGTTTGCTATTCTTGCCAATTTTTATTATTTTATTTATTTTTTGCATTTATATATTTAATTTTATTTTCAAACTTTATAGTTGATTGTTCTAATTAATTATTTAATTCTTTTTTATCTTATACTAATTCATTTATTGTACATAAGTTTTTTTCTATTAATTAATTTAATTGATTTAACTCTTATTTATGTATTTTAGATTATGTTTAACCGAAATTTTTTAAATCTTAGATTGCGATTTAAGATACTTCATTTAAATGTTTATATATTTAACTCTATTAAATTTATTTTATTATTAAATCTTCATCAAATGATTATATTTATTATGCTAAATATTATTATTTTTATTTTTGCATATTTAATTATTTCTACCATTCAATATTTAATTATTCATTATCGAAAAATTATTAATCGTTCATTTTTTATTTTTATTTTATTTTTTTAAAAAAGTTGATTTAAAAAAAATATATATAAATAATTAGAATAAATATAAAATATTTATGCATATTATTTTAGTTTTCATTAAGTGTTTTTAAAAGCATTATTCATTTGCATTTTTTTTACAGGAGAAACACATTTTTTAGTTCTTTTGATTTATTTTCTTTTATTATTTAAATTTTATTTTAGTAAGTTAAGTTTTTAATTTTATTCATCTTTTATTCTTTATAAATATTTCATGTTTTTATCGTAATTTTTTTTAATTTAATTTATAACATTATTAATATTGTTATTAGGAAAATATATTTTATAAATTTTAAATTTATCAAATTGAAGAATATCATAGAATTCTTTATTATTTTAGACTAGTTATAAAGATTAAATATAATTTGGTTAATTAATATGAATATTGTCTAAAGTTATATCTTTTTACGTTTCCGAAAAACTATGATGTCTTAAATTTTATTATTTATTTAAATTTTTACTATCAAAAATTATACTATTATCTAAAATATAACGATTCAATATTTAGCTAACTTTGATATCAAAAGATTCGTTAGTTTTTTAAAAAAATACTTTCTTTGATTATTTTCTTAAATTAGGATAATTATTATTACTATTATTATTATTATTATTATTATTATCTTATTATTATTATTATTATTTTTACTATTATTATTTTCACTATAATTATTTGTATCATTATAATAATTATTATTTATTAATGTTTTTCCTTAAAAACTATAAGATATTTTTTTTAGTAAACTTTTTATTAGTTAATTATTTTTCGTTTTATTTTAAATAAATGTTTGTTTTTTAAACTTAAATACACTAATGCAATTCTTTTATTTCAGGTTCACTGTAAATTTCTTAACTATTTGCATTTTTTTATAATTAGCCTTAAGGTGTTTATTATTCTTTTATAACGTTATCGTTATTATCTTATTCCAATTAAAGAATTTTGTTCTATAAGTGTTCATTATAATTCGATATATTATTAATATATTCATACAAATAATTTAAATCTAATTTTAAAGGATTATACTCTAAAATATAATCTAATATAGATTCCTGAATTTCTTTTTTTTATAACAAAGCATTAAATCTTGTTTAATCCTCTAATATAAATGTATTTAAGCATTCTACTTTTTTTCTTACAAAAGATTATCGTTTTTATGATTCGTTTTACATTAATTTAAATGCTATTTTATCCCTATTAGTATGAAAATTTACTTACGGGCATTAATTATAACAATGAGTAAATTAACCACAAATTTCACATTTAGAATCTAATTTTGAAAACATTCCTAAGTTTTTCACTTAGTCCTTTATTTTAAAGTACATTTCATTATCTTACTCATATTTTTAAAGCACTTGTAAGAAATCGTTTTTTGATAACATCACTAATGTACTTATACATGTGGAAATATATTAAATATCCTCGTTTTGGTCTGTAAGGAAAACCTTTTCATTAAAAAAATCACCTTCTTCTTTATTTTAAATGAATATATTATTATTAATTTATTGACTAATTTAACCTCTTATAATAAAAAACAGAACTCCTTAATTGTTCGAGTAGAAATCTTTACTTTCCCAAACAATGTCGTCTGGACGGAATGTTTTTTCTTTCATATTAAGGGCTAGTTCATTTAAAAAAGGTTTAGAAAAATTCAAAAGGAAAATTTTATAATGGGCCAAAATTTAATAATTAAGTTCTGTCAAAACTTCATTTTTTAAATTTAAATTTAAATCATTCAACATTTCTTGTCCTTTTTCTGAATAATCATGTTTTTCTTAATGCAAATACTCGAAATATCTTTTCACTTTTGTCTAAGTATTTACACTAAGGTTTCTTTTTTTCATATATTATTATAAATCCCCAAAATTTTATCTAAATTCTTAATCTTATTACACTATTTCCTAAACTAACTACCCTATTCTATTTAATGCATAAGCATATATTCCACATGAAAATATAGTTATGAAAATTACAATTATTCTTTCTTTTATATTATAAGGTCTTATATCTCCATAACCCACAGTCAGCATTGTTATTACAGCCCAATATAAAGAGCATATATATTTTCCCTAAAATAAAGATTCTGATAGTTAGTTTTCCTCAATCCAATTAATTTCGTTGTTTAAATATGTTTAATTGCCCACATAAAAATATAAACATCCGCAAAAATGAGCTATATATAGAACTAAAACTGAAAGTTTTATTAATTAGTAAATTGATTGTTGTTTTCTTTGTAAATTTACTGCTTGCTCTATTTCAGATAGTATTATTGATATTCTATATATTAAACATAATTCTATAAGTAATAGGGTATTTGAATCATTTGTTTATATGAATCCGAATAGTAATAAAATAAACAAATCAAAAGCAAATTAATTTTTTAAATAATTTTTACATATCTAATAACGAGATGTTTCTACTAAACCTTTTTTATAATAAGCTGTGTTAAATTTGATTAATATATCTTACAAAAAGATTAATATAGGTAATTATGTTACTGATTTATCTATTAAATCTGTAGAAAAGTTATCAAATCTTATTTTTTATTTTTATTTTGTTATAAAAAAATGCTTTTTTAGTCTAAAAGTTTTTTTTTTTTTTTTTAAATTACTCTTGACCAAATGTAACATATAATGGAATTAAATAAGTTAGCCAAATAATAAATGTAATTAAAAGAATATTCCATATTATTTTAAAATTAGAGTCTGGAAAAATAACTTTATTATGGTTTTTGATAAATTAAACTAAATGTTTTATGATTGCGTATTTTTAAAAATTAATATTTTTACATTTTTAATTTAACATTTTTTGAAAAAATTGACTTTCGTATATATAACTGAATACTGTTTTATCATTAATAACTTTTAATTGATGGTTTGTTAAACTATTATATCTTCTTATAAATGATAAACTTAAAATTCTTATAATGAATCTCTTTACATTTACTAAAATTAAAAATTGCTTTTATTTCCATGCACCTTTAAAACCTAATTATTGCTCAGATTTACATTCGCTTTAAAATTTATTGGATTTTTATTCAATATTTTAGGACATTCTATTTGGGGAAAAATCTAATTAATTGTATATTAAAGAAAATTATTCGTTCTAAAACACTATAGATTATGAGTTTTTACATGATATATCATTTTCACCTGGTACTTGTTTTATGCTTTTATTTAATGTAAATAAATTTTTTCGAGTTTTGTCTCCTTAACGCAAAGAATTTGAATTAATAGTATTATTTTATTATTAAAACATTTATTTATTATATTTAATTTTTTGTAATCTTTTTATTTGATAATATATTTTATATTAATATAAATATAATCTATATTAAAGAATATACAAAATATTACAAAATAATAACTAAATTTATAAGGTTTTAAAATATTTTTAATAAATTTACAAATAAAATTAAATCTAAAATATTATTAGATATATATTTTTATTTAATCTTAAAATAAAATTTTAATTTTTAATAAATAACTATTAAATTTAATTTATTAAATCAATTAATTTGATTTTTAAATCAACTAATTATAATAAAAAATGCATTTTATTATTTTAATATATAAATTTAAAATGATAATTTAATTAAATTTTTTAATTCAATATATATTTACTCTTAATTTATTGTTCAATTCATTTTTAATAATATCATTTTATATTATATATGTTTTTTTTTTTAAAAAAAAAAATCATTATTATATGAATTAAATAAAAACATATCTAAATTCATATTTAAAATATGTTAAATAAAATTCATATTTTGACTAATTTCAAAATTATGAAATTAATAATTTTAAATGCTTTTAATAATGTATTTTTTTTCTTATTTAGATAACTAAATATAATAAGTTTTTAAAAATATTAAATTAATTTATTTTATAGAAAATTAATTATTAAATAATTTATAGATATTAATTAATATATACATATTAAATTAATTAAATAATATTAAAATTAATAAAATTAATAAAACTTTTATTTATATTGAAAAAATGAACATTTATTAAAAAAAGTACTAATTAATTAAATTTAATAATAATCTTTTATTTTATATATCAAAATCAATAATATATATATATATACATATTTTAGTTTATAAAAAATTTAATTAATCTTTTTTATAATAAAAAAAATAATTAAATATATAAGTATTATTTACATATTTATATAATAAATAAATGGATATACATATATTTTAAATGGATATACATAAAACTAAAACATTAAATTAAAATACATTAAAAATAAGCAGGAATATATTTTTTTTTATAATATACTATTTTTTCTAAAAAGTATAAACATAATAAAAATATTTAAATTTTAATACAGTTCCTGATAAAATATAAGCAACTTAAAATTTCGGCGAATTATTTACACAAGTATAATCTCATGAAAGGTACAAAAATACTCTTTTTTTGGTTTTTAAGGAAGAAAGAATAGTAGTATTAAACAAAAATAATTTCTTTACAGAAAAAATTTATGATATCAAAATTTAAGAAATGTAAATTACAGATAAATATATCTATGCAAATATCCTATAATCAATTTAAATATTAGATTACATATCATTAACTTAAGATTTTTAAATTATAAAAGAATTAAAACCCCCAAATAATATTATAGTATAATCTTTTAGAGTTTCAGATTAAGATTAATATATATTTATTACAAATAAAGGTAATTTATTAATAATCCAAATTTAGGAAAATAAAGTTTTTCTGCCACAAATCCGTCAATAATAAAATCATTTTGCAACTTCAATGCATATATTTTTGGCAGAAAAAGAACGCAAATACGCCTTTTTAAGTTCTGATGTTGGAGGAATAAATATCTATAATATATGCAATGTGGAATTGGTTACATTTGTACGACGATTATTTGATATCGGAAAAGAAACAATATAAACATATGTATTTTAAAATGAAAAAATAATGTATGTCTTAACAAAATATAATGGTATTCACATATTAGATATAAATAAACTTTATAAAAATGAGGAAGAATTTAAAATCGAAGAAGAAGGTTCATTATTTTTAACAAATTTAGAATTTGAAAATACTGTCAATTATATGTGGATTTGGGAAGAAAAAAAATAATTATTTGTTTCTTTAAGGACTTTTGGAATCTAAATTTATTCGCTTAATAATATTAAAAATCCTTCTATTTTTTAGAAAATTCCTAATTAAGGACTTAGTTTGTATTTATATGTTGAGCAGAGTATTTATTTAGCTGATGGATATGAATTAAAGGTCTTTGAGTTAATCAACTATATTCAAAATGATGATATTATTAACATTTATAATCACTAATAGTGTTAGTTTGTTCCTTTATAGTAACTTAGAGGAAATCAGATTCTTTTTAACCCTTTAAATTCAAATGTTATTTATGTTACTTTGGGATATGGGGGTTTGGAAGTGTTTTTGGTTGAAAAAATTTTAAATAATATATAAATTAAATATAAAAGTTAATTTTTTAATGGAATGAATTATAGGAGTTTAATGTATATAAAAAGAGATGAATTATTAGCTGTTTCAATAGAAAATGTGGGTATTGCCTTTTTTAATTTCGAGTAAAATTCCTAAATAGAACCTAAATTTTTTTTTAGTTTTTCTTTAACATCTGGTTTGAATAGTTGTTTGGGGTTCTACAAAGAAAAAGATGAGAATTTTTTAGGATGTGCAAATGAGAGTTAGGGCTTTTATATTTTGGATATAAAAAATTTGAAAAATAATAAAAATGTGTAAATTTATGCAATTTATAATTTAGAAAAAAGCAATAAAAAATATGAAAGTGTGACAAGTGTTGTTTTTGATGATTATATGAAATTCGGATTTTTTACTATAAAGGAATAAGGGGTGGGTTATTTTAAATTTTTGAGCAATAAATAAATTTAAGTTTTATAGTTTTTTAAAAGCTTTGGAAGCGAATTTCTTAATTTTGATATTTTTAATTAGAATTACCTTTATTTAGCAGATGGATTTTAAGGAATTACTATTTTTAATTGCAAAGGAGAAAAACCACTTGTTTAAGCAAGAGTAAAAGTAAATGGATGGGCTTTAAAATTTATATAAATTTAAAAAAATCCCAATAATTTAATTGTAGTTTAAGATGGGAAAGGAATAATTTCTATTGTTAATATTTAAAATAGAAAAAGTCCTTCAAAAATAAGCTAGTTTTAATTTGGAGATGAAAACGGGTATGCTATTGATGTTGATTAGTAAAATAATTATATTGCCTTTATTACTTAAAGAGGCTTTAGGAGATGTAGAATTGGATTTGATATATAATTATATATGAATGCTTAAAATTAGAATACTAAAGTGGGATAGAAAGCTACTTTTAGTCCTATTTCGTTATATTATGACAGAGATATTAGATTTTAGAATATTTATTTTTAAATGAACTATGAGCTTTAAGAAATTGAAGGATATTCATATTTTTACAGATAAATGAATTCTGTAGAAATTTATATTGATAAAAATTTTATATATGATAATGGAATTAATCTTTTATTTTTCCAAATTTAAACTTAAATTTTTTAAAATGATTTTTTATTTGATAATTTTGATTAGTAATTAGCTTAGTTCATTTATAGGTTTTTAATTTAAAATTAATTTATTGATTAAGAAGGTTTTGTTATAAAACAATTTTATACTAAAATTGATTTAAGTGATTATTTTTAAGGAGATAGAAGAGATTAATAAAATTAAGTTAATCTTTAAAAAAATATAAACGATTTTATTAAAGATGTTTTAGCATAATCTGTTTAAATTCATCCTATAAAGTTTATTACATAATCATCACTTTTTTTTAGACCTTAAAATATAAAATAAATAATAGAAAGTGTTTCTGAATATATATAAGTATAATTAGAAATTATTCCTTCTTAATAAATATATAATATATAACAATAGTTTATTATGTGTAAGTAGTTTTAAAACGAATTTGTTATGTAAACTTTAATTAATAATAATAGAAAAATTATTATGTAGGGAAAAATTTATAATATTAATTTGTTTTTGGAAAATTGCATTTATATTTCATTTTATGATTCAGAAATTAATATAAAAGTTGATATTTAAGATTAAATAAATTTCGATTTTTTAGAAAAGTATACTTTGGAATAGTTATTAAGTTTTATTTAAATTAAGCCTGATATTTAAATAAAAAAATCTTTCTAAAATTAATATAATGAATAATATCCATCTGAATTAACAGTAGAAAAGGAATAATAAATATATTTTTAAAAAGAAAGCATAGTTTATTTTAATGCATTAGAAATCAAATTAAGTGTTTTTATAATAGAAGATAATCATTATAAATGGGAATAAATATAAATAAATGAAGATGATAAATATTATATAATAAGCATTTTCAAAGAATTAAGTTCTTTTAAAAAGGTATATAAAATTAAGATTATTTTAGATGATTCTTATAGTTAATAAGAGGAAATAATTATAATTAAATTTGAAAACATCGGTTTAGGTTTAATTATGAAGTTTTGTTCTATTTTAATTACTTTGGTTGTTATTTTATTATTTATTTATATTTTTAGATATAAATTACATAATTTACTCTTCAAAAAATATTTCGTTTATTCAACTTTTGTTATTGATAATTTAATTTTATTTCGAAAAAAAATTGATATATAGCCAAATGGATTTTTAAAAGCTTCCTAAATTTTCGAAGATTTAGTAAAATAGAAATATTTCTAAAATTATAAACTTCCTCTATTAAAATAAGATGTTTTATAAATTAGCTAAAATCTTTATATTTAAAACCCAAAGAAGTATTCTAATTTAGGCTAAAAGGATTTTGAATGTATTGACCTTTAGTTTAGTTTGCCTTTATTCTATTTTGTTGCTCGATATGTTTTAAAATAAAATAAAAATTTAATTATTGTTTACGGATTTCTAAAAAAATAAGCTTAATAATAAATTAAATAAAAAGATTGGTATAAAGTATATTTGTTATTTAATAAAATATAAAAAATATATAAATATATTTATTTATGAAAAAATATAGATTTATATTTAATAAGAAATAATAAGTAATTAATTAATTGTAAATGATACTATTTTGAAATAATAATTAGAATTATTAACATAGAAATTTCCTAATTTATAAGTAGATTCTTTATAATAAGATTTATTAATTGAGGTTTTAAAAGCTGATTTTTATGGGTTTGATTTTTAGAATAAACCTAAATTTTATAAACCTGCTATTGGTGAATTAATATAAACAAATTCTTCTGATATAAATACTATTAAAGTTAGGTAGAAAATTTAGAATATAAAATTAAAATAAGGAATTATTAAGAAAATTTATAAATTATTTTTTAATAATTATGTTTACATTTTGGATGAAAAAATTAAAAAAACTCCAGACTGGATTGACTATGAAATCAGTAATGATGAAATCCTATTTGAGTTTCGTATTTAAAATATTAAGAAAGGTATTTTCGTGGTTGAAATTTATAATAAAGGATATATTTGCTATTAATTTAAATTAAAAATCGAATTTTTGAAAGAAAATTGGAAAAAATCTTAGACTTTATTAGAAGATAACTATAATATGTTTAAAGATAAAAAATATACAGATGAAATATGTTAAATAAACTCTAATAAAAATCTTTAATATTGATTTTAATATATATTATTTTTTACATATATTAAAAAATATATTTTTTTAACAAAAAATTATTAAATTATAAATACATACATAAATATATTATTATATATAAAATAATTTTAATTATATTAATTTATAAATTATTAATATTTGTTATTAAGTTCTTAAATTTTATAATCAAACCTTTTTTATTTAATTTTTGATATTATTTAAATATATTTTAAACTATATTTAATATAATAAAGACTTATAAAAAATTGTGCAAAAATGTTTAATTTTATATTAAATAAAATTTGTTTTAATTATATAAAGAAACAAGAAACAAAAAAATTTATTAATAAGTGTATATATTTAAAATTTTCTAATAAAAAATATATCAAAACTTAAATATTTTTCTAAATTCAATAAAAAATTGTGATCATTTGCTTCTTAATATTATAAAAAATTCTAATCACAAAATAATTTTTAAATAAAATATATAAGTTAATCCTTATTATTTAATAAAATTTTATAATTAACTCTACCCTCTTCTCACCCCCCCCCATATATAAATTAAATATTTACTCTTATTAATGATAAGCTTAATAAATGGCTTTAATAAGATTGAGCCTTTAATTATAATTTGGAATAGATTTTTATTTCTTGGATAGCTAATTTATTCTCTCTATCTATTTCAAATTTATATTCTTATATAAAATGAACAAAATTAATCTGATAATTTATATAAAATGATTGAAATATAAAGTAAATATATCAAAATAATGTATTATATTTATTATATAAGCTAATATGTTATTTTATTTTTTTCAAATAAATATATTAGGGTTTAAATTTATTCTATTCATTGTTAATATTGAAAATAATTAGAATATAAATAAAAATATTTAAGATATAAAAAAATAGTGATTTAAATTTAAAGAAGATAAATTATATATTAAAGAGAGTTTAAATAACTATTGTTTAAAAATTTACCTTATTATGATTAAAACGAATTTTCTAAAATAATATTATATAAACAGCTTATTATAATATAATTTAGAAATTATTTATATTTATATATATATATAAATTTGTTTATAACTTTTTTCTTAAAATCGATTAGATTCTTTTATAAATAATATAAAAATTTAATTTTTATAATAATATTAATAACATTCTATACATATTAAATATTTTTTATACAAAATATAATAAATACAAAAATATTATTATTTATTTTATTATTTCATAATGAATTGTTTCTTTTAATTGAGTTTTTAATTATTAAATTTTGTATTTCGTTTTCTAGGTTGTTTTTCTTAATTTTTTGCCATTTAATTTCGTTTAATAATTCCGTCTTGAAATAAATAGAGTCTAAAATTTCTTAAGTAGAAGGCCTCATTTCAGGATCCGAATGCATCATTTATTTAATAATATGAACTAATTCTTTATTTTAGTTTTTTAATTTTTAATCGATAATGTTTCCATTAATATTTCCTCTCAACTCAATCCATTCTTCCCCATTTAAAGGCAAATTTTCTCCTATAAGTAATTAGTAAATAGATATTCCTAAAGAATAAATATCAGCTTTTTTAAGGTCGATTTCAGCCTAATAATTAAGTAATTCTTGTGCAATATAACGTGAATCGCCTTCTTGAATATTCGAATACAATTAATCTTTATGAGAAACTAATGTAAGACCGAAATCCGCGATTTTAAATTTATTTTATTTTGAGTGATAAAGCATATTTTCAGGCTTCAACTGAGTCTAGATGCACTAGATTTTAAGAATGCAGATAATGGAGTCCTTTAAGAATATCTAAAAAAATATGCTTTATTTATAAACTGGTATATTTTTAGATATATCAGATAAATTATGATCACAGTATTCCATAACTAAGTATAATTAACGATCTTCTATCCATGCATTATGTTATCTGACTATATTTTAAATTTCTTCTCGGGCGGTTAAGGCTGAAATTGCTAATGTCTCTTTTATAGTCTTTTTATAATTTAAACTGCTTTGGATTTGTTCTTTTGTTACTTTTATTGCATATGTATTGTTGTCTAATTTGTTTATACATTTATATACTTTACCGAAATAACCTTGTCCTAATAATTTTTCTATTTAATAGTCTTGAGAAAATCGCTCGAATTTTTATTAGCAATTTTCGGATTCGGAAGAATTAGAGGAAAATGAATTTTCGGATTTTCTGTTTTTGCGTTTTTTGTCAGGAGATTGGAATTATATTTCTTGATAGTTTTTTCTAGGAGATTGAAATTGAGGAGAGTTATTTTTCTTTTCAGGAGATTGAAATTGGAGAGAGTTCTTTTTGTTTTCAGGAGATTAAATTAGGGGAGAGTTCTTTTTGTTTTTTGTGTATTGTAGTATATCTATTTTGTCTTTTGTCGGAGTTTACAGTTTGTAGTTTTTTGAAGATTGAAATTTGGGGGAATTCGTATTTTTATTCGCAGAATACTATAATTGGAATTTAGGAGAATTAGTTTTTTTGTTTTTAGGCGATTAGTATTTTGGATAATTCATTATTTTATTTTATTTTATTTTAATAGATAAAATATGAATTATCTCTTATTTATATTTAGCACTATTATTTTTTATTTTAATTTTTTTATTAAAAATTCGATTGATATAAAAAAAAAACTGCAAAAAAAAAATGGATTATGAGTTTTTTTTTTTTTTTTCTATATATAAACAGAAAAAATAAATAAAATACAATAATAAAAATTAATATATATATTTTTTTTATATACAAAATTTATTTTATTAAAGGATTATTAAAATTAGAAATATCAATTATTAAAATTATAATAATAATACCTAAAAATTATTAAATATAATAATTATATAATTAACTTCAAGGTTTTAAAATAATTTTTTAACCGCCTCCAATTTTAATACATTCTTAAATTGCATCTTAAACATCATTGAAAGAATAAGCTTTATAAATTTTTGTCTTGAAAATAGTATCTAAATTATTTTTAATAAACTCTTTAGCTTTTTCCAAATCCTATTCTCTTTATTCATTCATCCAATTAATAACCGTTAGTCCTTCTAATCTTTTTTAACCCCATCTAACTTACACTCCATTTATTCCTTCAATATCTTTTCCACTTAAAGATCCGTAAATAATAACTACACTTTTTTATGGCAAATTGTTAAATACTTGTCCTGTAATACTTCCTCCTATAGGATCAAAACAGATATTGATACTTAATTACTCAGAAAGTTATTTTATTTGATTTGAAAAGTCCTAGGAATCTTATGAAATTACGAATTCATTTTCGAATTATTTTTTCATTTCATCAACACGATTTTAGTTTCCTCTAATTACATTCAAACAGTTTAGTCCAAAATATTTACTTAATTTATTCACCATATGTCCTAATGAACTATTAGCAGCTAAATTTAATACACCTTTACTTTTATAGGATAAAGCTCTTTATATTAAAGCGTAAGAAGTAAATGGATTCACAAAAGCGCAAGCGCCTTATTCTGCACAAAAATTAGGAGGTAAAACAAGCAAATTTTTCATATCTATTATTTAATATTCACGCCAGGATCCAATATTGAAATTTATAAAACTTACATATGAATTTATTAAATTCTTGTCAGTACAATCAACTATAATTCCAAAACCTTCGCTTCCAGGAGTAAATGGTAGTTTAATGCCAGGAATAGTACCTTTAAGTATTTAGAGGTCAATAGGATTTATGGGACAAGCTAATAACTTTATTAAAGCAGTACTGCTAGCTAATTAATTTTTTAAAATTTCAAGGTCAAATTTTTATTCAATTGATATTTTTAATGAAGATAAGTTAAATTCATTAACGACAATTTATTTGTATAATTATTGCATTTATGAAAAGAAATTAAATGATTTTATTAAAATATTATATAAAAAATGAATTTAAAAAAATAAATCTTTCTTTATTTTATAAAAATGTATTTAAAAATATTTATCTTTTAAAAATAGATAAAAATATCTTTATATAATTAAAGTAAATATTATTAAATATATAATATATATTTTATAATATATTATATAATATATATTTATAAATATATATATATGTATATATATACATATATATTTATATTATATATTATTTATTTAAATAAGCAATTTTTTATTCAATTATTATAAAAAAACATTACTATTTATAAAAATTAAAATATTATATATAACTTTTATATATATTCATTTATACTTATTTTATTTATTCATATTTTATATTAAATTTGCATTTATATATTAATATATATTTAAAAATAAAAATATGAATTCATTATTAGAATGCTCATATATTTCTAGTTAAAGATAAAGCAACGAAAATTATTTTTCTTTGAATAGAATGTAATATAAATATAAAAATATTTAAATAAATTTAATATTTTTTAAAAGTACTAAATGTCAATCATTGACTTTATAATTAAATAATAGTACATTTCAAGACAGTTTTAAGTCTAACACAACTTCTTCGACAATTAAATAAACATAAAACAATTCTAGTTTTAAAAAATCTATAAATGATTATTAATTTATTGATGAATAAAATTCTCCTATCTTAGGTAAAGGTACATACGGAACAGTAAAATTAGCATTAGACAAGCATTCTAACGACAAATATGCAATTAAAATAGTTATTAAAAATATATTAAAAAAATAATAAATAAATATTTTAGATATAAAAATAAAAAATACTACAATCAAAAACTGTGGAAAATTTAAAGAAGGAAATAAAAATTCAGAAAATGTTAAATCATCCAAATATTTGTAAATTACACGAATATTTTGAAGACTAAGAAAATGTTTATTTAGTACTAGAATATGCAAAATAAGGAAACCTATATTAAAATATGATAAAAATAAAAAAGTTTCCTGAATAAATAGCTTTCCGTTTTTTCTTTTAAACATGTTTGGGTATAGATTATTTACATAGAAATGGAATTATACACAGAGATTTAAAACCAGAAAACCTTCTTGTTGATAATAAAGGGGATATTAAGTTGTGTGATTTTGGTTGGAGTTCAGAGGTGTATACTAATGATACAAAAACGACTTTTTGTGGTACAGTGGATTATTTAGCACCAGAAATGATATAAGGTCTTCCTCATGATTGCAAGATTGATGTATGGTGTTTAGGTATTTTTCTATATGAAATTTTACATGGGTTTCCACCTTTTGAAGGTAATAATGATATGGAGAAAATATAAAAAATTTAAAATTAAAAATATATTAAATTTGGTGAATATATAGGAAAAGATTTATAAGATTTAATTAAATAAATGCTTACAAAAAAACCTAGTAAAAGAATTAATATGATATAGATTTTTTAAAATTAATGGATGATAAAATACTATTAAATTCTGAATATTAATATAAAAGAAGTTTTAGAATAATAAGACAAAAATGCTAAATAATAAGAAATATTAGGAGTAAATAAAAAAATTGTAAATTAATAGAAATAATAACAAAAATAATAATAGTAAGAATAAAAATAATAATAAATATAAAAAAAAAGTAATAATAATAATAATAATAATAATAATAATAATAATAATAACAATAATTTAGTTTTACAAATAATAGTAATCGTTCAAGTTTTAAATAAAATATTATTTAAAAAAATGTTATATAGATTTTTTTATAAGAAGCTTAGAAAAATAATATTAATATTGTTGAATAATAATTATAATAAATATAACCAGTTAATAAAAATAATAGTATCAAATAAAATAAATCTGAATCGTTTTTAAATAAGATATTTATTGCATTCGGGTGTACAGCTAGGACAAAATAAAATTGATATTTTATAAAAAAATTTGATTTTTTATGAAAATAATATTTTTTTTTTTTTTAATATATCATTAAAAAAATAATTCCTTAATTTAAATATATATATACATATAATCAAATATTTATTTTTAGGATATATTATTTTTATTTTATTTATTTTTTATAGTAAACGAAAAAAATATAAAATTTCTTATATAAAGAAAAACTAATATTTTTTTTAAAAAAAGTATAAATAATATAAAAAAAATGCCAAAATTTTATTGTGAATATTGTGGAGTTTATTTAACACACAGTTCTCCTTCAGGAAGAAGTTAACATTCTAAAGGAAGAAAACACATAAATAATAGAATAGAATATTACAAACAAGTAATAGAAGACCTGAATAAGGAAAACTAAGATAAAATAAAAAATATTTAAATATCTTAAATATTTAACCCTACAACATAATTGAATTTTCCTAATACATTAAGTGGGCCTTTAGCTGTTCCTATGATTTAATTGACATAATTATAAAGTGGAGGAATATAACATGTCCAAATAAATAATAATAATGCAATCAAAACAACTTAACCATTAATTAATCCTATGATGTAGCCACCAATGAATCCATTTATGAATATTAAATCTTAAGTACCTTCTACAATGCCTCCTGTTTAGTTAATGAATTAATAAAATATTACATAAAGATTAATGGCTCCACCTATGAATATGGGTTAATTGCCACCTATGTAATAGTTAAATCCACTAATGAAGTAATTATAACCTCCTTTAATGGGAGGAATGGGTTAAATGGGAGTTGGGTAAATTGGATAATAATAAGGGTAAAATCCAAATGTTTAAAATAATGGATTACTTGGGCTTGGTTTATTATAAAGTCTTTCAACAGGAGAAAATAATCATAACGGAATGGAAAAATTATAATAGTTATAGTAATAATAATAATAATAATAATAACAATAATAATAATAATAGTAATAATAATAATAATAATAATAATAATAATAATAATAATAATAGTAATAATAATGATAAAATATTAATAAAAAAATAAATACTATATATTATTATTTTCTATATATTTTTGAAATGAAATATATATTTTATTAATATTTAATAATATATAAGTTTATTATTTATTTTTTATTATGATACTTAATTATTTATAAAAATATGGAGAATTTATAGAGCAATGTAATAAATTAATTTTCAAAGTTAAAAAAAAAATATTTATATATATTTATATATATATATATATATATATATATATATTATTTTTTATTTTATTTATTTATTATTTTTTAAAAATAGGATTTTATTATAAGTTTTTATTTTTATATTTAAATTAATTAATTTTTTATCATCCTCATTAATATATATTTTTTATTTTTTTATTGATAATTTTTATTTATATTTAATATAAAAAAAATTAGTTAAATTTTTTTTTTTATTTTTATATTTAAATATTAATATATTTTATATCTTATTTACTAAAAACTAATATTTTAACTTTTTAATAGTATTTATATATTAATTTGATATATATAAATATAAATAAATATATATTATAAATAAATAAAATAAAATATAAATAATTATTTTAATTTATAAATATTTAATACATTTATTAACATTGTATTAATATAAATTTTCCTATTTAATTATAATTATATAAGCAATTGAAATTTATTTTTAGCTTTTTGTTTATTTCTTTTTTTAATATTATAATATTTATATTTTCATATATCTTCACTAAAGAAGTAGCAATATTACCAAATATTTTATTAGAAAAAATATCTATTGATTATAGCGACTTTATTTTAATAATCAATTATATTATATTCATAGCCATTGATTTGAAAGTTTAGTATGGTCATTGTCATATTTTTTTTAACTTTAGTTATCTATTTCCTTCATGTTTATTTAAATTTCTTTATATATTAAATATTCTAGAAATTTACTTTTTCATATAAAAAATAATATGTTTTAATTAATAAATAAATTTCAATTTTAAATAAATTATAGTAAAGTATTTTCTTTTCTTAAGTAGACTTTTTAATTTCTAAGAATTATATTAATACCAATTTTCGGGATATAAAAAAATTTTATATTAATTTTTTATATTAATAAACATTTATTAACTTTTATTATATAATATTATTTAAACTGATTTAATAATTAATTTTTAATTAATATTTTTTAAAAAATATAGCAAAAAAAATATTTAAATATATATAAACTGATTAATTATTAAGAATTTTTTATTAGATGCTTTCATTTAATTTAATTTAATATAAAAAGTAATAATTTTTAACGTTTATTATTATTATTTTTTATATTATTTTTTTCTTTGTTTTTTATTTTATTTTCTTTAATAATTTTTTTTGATTTAATCTAAGTATTATTATTAAATTAAACCAACCTTTAATTATTAAATATTCTCAATAAAAACAACAACATAAATTATATTATAGAAAAATCTTTATATATAAACTTTATTTTCATAAAATAACAAAAAAATGTAATAAAATATAGAAATGTAATAATAAATAGAAATATAAAAATAAAGAGAAACTTAATAAGAAAAAACAACTTAACAAGATTAAAGTATTTTCAAATACAAAAGATAATTTGATCAAAATTTTAAATGTAAATTTCAGTTTCCTCCAAAAAATATATTTGATCCAATAACACCTGCATACGGTTATGGTTATGGTCTATATTATGATTTATTATATTAATTTTTCTAAATATTTATACTGCTTTCAATTATAACAATAGCTTAATGGTATTTAAATATAAAAGGAAAAGGGCTTTATGGAAAAATAAAGTTTTTAACAACTACGTGGTCAATAGCGAATCAACCTTTAAGTATAGAAGCAAATTCTGAAGATGAAGATTTTTAATTAATAATGAGTTTATATTTTTTATGTGATTTTGTTTATTCTACAGTAATATTTGTTTATTTCTATTTTTCTAGATCAAGAAGCTATAAAAAGTTATACAAAGTAAAATAAAATTCTAATTCAATTAAAGATTATACAATAGAAGTAAAAAAAACAAAAAACAAAAAATAATAAAAAAAAGGTAACTGGATTTCCTAAAAATATAAATAATGCAATTGATCTTAAATTTCATTTCGAATAATTAGGAGAGTTTAAATTTTAAGTAAGCGAATGTATATTAGTCAGAAATTACGAGAATATTCTTTTACCTTAAAAATAAAAGTTAAGAATTTAGCGGCTTTTGGAAATTTAACTTAATCGAAGTGACATTTTATAGGATAAAAACGAAAAAGAAATATAAATTCGGTAAAAAAGACTGGATTTAATAAAAGAATAGCTCGAACAAATCGAAAATAATATAAATTAATAAATAAAAGCCAAAATGGGTTAAAAAAATATTTAAACTGTAAAAGCTTTTGTATCTTTCTAAACTAGAGGTTAAAGAGATAAAGCTGCTTTATTGTATAAATAAAATCCTATTTTAGGTTTAATAAAAAAACAAAATATTAATCTTTAATTTTAATAATAATTTCCTTTATAAATTATTAAAGCTTAAGATCCTTAAAGTTATTAAGTAAAAATAAAGATATATGTATAACTGTATAACAATTATTAAATAAAGCATATACAAATATATATATATATATATATATTATTTATTATAATAGTGGGAGAATTAAGAATTTAACTCTTATAAAAGAAAGTTAATAACAACAAGTGTTGGTATAGCATTAAGTTTACCTGTTATAATAGCTATTTTGTTATATCATAGTTATTATTATTGGATTATTGATAAATTCAGTTGTTTGACTCAATCGTTTACCATAAACAGCTCTGAATATAAAGAATGTTACTGCATATATCGTATAAATCCACAAAACATAAAAAACATTAATTGCGAAAAAGACTATTATGACTATTATTGGGTAGCTACACATGGAAACAGTACATTTGCATTAATCGTGAATATAATAATGTACTTAATTAGAGTTTTATTGGAATATTTTGTTTAATAGGAAAGAAATAGTACAAAATATATTCAAAACAGAGTAACTTTTCGAATAATATTTCTGTGGTTATTTTTAAATGGAATTTTTTTCGTTTTTTTTTTCAATTTCGTTTTAGATGATACTTTAAGCTTTTCGAATTACATATCATATATTTTTGGCTCTTTATCAGTAAAAGAAAACGAAATAAAAGATAGATTACCAAAAGATATAGGCAGAAATTGGTCCATGAATGTAGGGTAGAAATATATTTATATAGCAAAATTTAATGTGGTTTTTCCGTATATTGCTAGCGGTATTTATTTTTTATATTAAATCAAAAAATGTCCCGATGCAAAAGAAAAGATTAAAATAGATAAAATTATTGATGAACTTTAAATCTAAATTAGAAAAGATGATCCAGACATTAATCATAATTATTATTTTACTTTAGGATAAAGATATGCACTTTTTGGCATAGTAATATATATGGGAATTATATTTTCTGGACCTTTACCGTTCCTTGTACTAATAGCGGCCGGAGAAATTGGGACTATTTTATTATACGATAGGTTTTTATAAAATATAAATATAAAAAAATTTCAATAAATTTTTATAATATATCTGAATAAATATATAAAATTTAAATATATATATATATATATAAATATATATATATATATTATATATATATTTACATATAAATATATTTATTTATATATTTTCTAAATATATCGTTTTTATTTAGAATTGTTTTAAGTAAATATAATTGCGTTAATTTAGTTGAATGTTATAGATTAGAAGAGGAAA